ACAAAAAAGGCCAGAGAAATGGCTCAGTGGTTAAGAGCAGCTGCTGCTCTTGTAGAGGTCTCGGATTCAGTCCCTAGCCCCCCACCTTACCTCTGTGGGCTCCTGCATTTATGTAATGCATGTGCATACATTTGGACACACACACACACACACACACACACAAAGAGAGAGAGAGAGAGAGAGAGAGAGAGAGGGAGGGAGAGAGAGAGAGAGATTGAGAGAGAGAGAAAAATAGGTGTTTTCTTTTAAATTTTCAAAAATGTAAACTAAAATTTAAAAGTCAAGTGCATGATGAAGAGAATTTGAGTTCTTCTAGAATGAAAAAGAAAAGGATAAAAATTAAAACTACGAAAGAAGTAAAATTAGAAGTGATGGTTCTAGCTGAAAACTCAAGGATTCTAAGAAAGGAACCATTATTATTGGAAACTGAAGAGAAGTCATATACATAGCCTGCTCATTGAGAGGCACATCAAAGAACAAAGCAAACAGACCAGGTACTATGCAGATGTGAACAATACATATGAATGTGGGAGCTGTACAGACAGAAATGCATCAGTGACAACATTTACAAAGAGACACAGGAAGAAAACAAAGATGCAGATACTAAACCCACACCGGTCAATGGCTCCAGTATCCACAGTAATCATGTTGTTGCTTGCTCTTTGCAAAAGATCTTACCCTATGAAGCATTTTAGTAATATATTCTAATGAAATAACTGTTTTTAGGCATGTTTACAGAATTTTCTGGAATTAGCGGGTGATTTGAGAATAATGTACACTTTTATTGAGGACACTGAGATGTCAGGCCACAGAGAGTGAGGTCAACTTCAATGAACTTCAGCTTTCAACCCTTAAAATGGGCCCAGTATCTACATGGCCTGTCTGTTACATTTAATACTTTTGCCTAATAATGACCTAGTATAAAAACTAAAAAATTCTGAATTTCTTTTTAGGCACAAATACACTAAGTATCTAAAACTGAGAACTCTTAAAAATCAGAAAAAGAGCTGGGCAGTGGTGGCACACGCCTTTAATCCTAGCACTTGGGAGGCAGAGGTAGGCGGATCTCTGTGAGTTCATGGCCAGCCTGCCTAAAAGGAGGGCATGCCATTTCAAAGTATCTTTATCTAGTTTTGTAGATTTGAAGCTCTTGGGGTGTGTGTGTGTGTGTGTGTGTGTGTGTGTGTGTGTGTTTTCTTTTTCTTCAAACCAAGAGCTCTAAAAAAAAGACTCTCTTGTCAACAGACATGTGCATCTCAGCACACGAAAGTTCTAGAGACCAGTGTTGTGAAGCATAATTAGCTTAAGAAAATGTAGTTTGGATTCTGCTAACAGAAAAAGCCTAAAGGAATGTACGTGCACTATAGAGCATATGTCAGCTTGTCGGCTTAGAGTCTAGGTTAATAAATGATTTACCAACAGAACATGCAGATACACCATCACTAACAGTAGCCATGCAATGAAACTGACAGTAGTGCTGGGACCATGTGTGAGCTTACTTCTTTCAGCTTCCAGTATTTGCTCTATCAAAAGTCAGGAAGGGGGCCCTTTTGTATGCCATTTATAATGTATAAGTAAGGAATTTTCTTAATATGTTAGTTAAGGGCTCTGAATAAGTATACTAATTCCTGTTTTAATACAGAGAATTCAAAAGCTTCATGAAATAAAGAAAATATTGTTATACTTTAACTTTATTGTTCAAATGCATTTTTGTTTACATCAATGTCTTAAATGTCCTCCTAGAATGAACCATAGCTTTACAGGCAGCCCTTGTTGCTGTCATTAAATTTTCTGATAGATTTTGTATTGGTGATTGCTAAGCACATCCCATGGAATTGTAAAGGTGGCTGGATACTTGACCACAGCCACTTTGGTTTTTAATAAAACTGCTTGACTGTTAACTACATCATAATAACTAACCAACTGTACTTCTAGTCTTTCATAATGACTTACATTTGGGGGACAGTAAACTTGAATCTGATTCAGTGTTACTAAGTTTTAGAGGTAAACAGATCCTAGCCAAGCCTCTCATTTTTCTGTGTGAAGACACCAGCCCAAAGCAGCCTAGCTAACCAGTGGTCTGTCTATGACTTCATCCAGTTTCCAGCCAAGACCAGAACCTTGCCTTTTCTGATTCTCAATGGAAAATGTGTTCTCCCTTAAGTTCTTTAAAATCATGCACAAGCTACATAAACTAGAAATTCTGTATTCCCCTTAAAAAATAAAAACAAAAAGTTAGCATATATTTGGTCTAAAATAAAAATAACAAAAATGAAGACGATGTAACTATTTGGTGGTGTACTATCAGTTCATTCATTTTTGTATCCTGAAGAGAAATTCCTATGACTGATTCGGGTGGCTCAAGTCACTTTTCTTCTAAGTTATGAGGAAGATCTTAACTGATTTTCATTCACTAAGATTAGCATAAGCTAGGCATGGTGACTCACGCCTTTGATCCCAGCACTCTGGAAGCAGAGTCAGGCAGGCAGACCTCTGTGACTTAGAAGCCAACCTGGTCTACAAAGCAAGTTCTAGGACAGCCAAGGCTACATAAAGAGAACATGACTCAAAAACAAAAAACAAAGAAAAAAAACAACAACAAGATTGTCATATTATGTCCTTATTAATTTGTTTACAACATTGGAAATGGTTATTAACTAAATAATTGAAATTCTGAAGAATTTTAGTGCAAGGATTAAGAACCTTGCTATTTGGTGTATCTTTTAGTGACCAACAATAGCATGAGAGTGACTGACTAAGGCTGTAGCTTGATGGTAGAGCTTTTGCCCAAATCCGTAAAGCAGATCTTAGCTCCCCCTTCCCTTAGACCCAATGCATCACCTTGCTAACAAGAGCATGGGCCAGTCCTGTGTATGTTATGGCTCTGATGCACCTATTTAGAGAGTTACAAATGTCACAACCTGTCCCTTTGGTTTGGTGGCTTTTTCTTCCTCACAATTTGCTTCTCCTTACCCTGAAACAAAAACAAAGGAACATAAAAATATCAGTCTGGAGTGGAGTTGGCACAGTAGCTCAGTGGAAGGGCACTGTCTAGCATGTGTCAGGCCATTTATTTTAGTCCCAACACCACAAAGCAAACAAGCAAATGCATCCTCTACTTTAATAGATGAAGAGAACAACACAAAGAACCAAGTATATGAGAGATGAAAGGGAAAACATCTCCTTCTGGGGCCAGCGACCAGACTGGTTGGCGGCCTGTTTTTGGAATGTTCTTTAGCATTTAGCACATCTGACTCTTTGCTTTTCTAGGTCTTCCCTAGTCATTATTCAGTCCATTCTGGCTCCCCAAACTGAGATTGTGTAACTGTATTGGGGAGCATAGGAGTTAATTATACAGTGTTGGATTTGTGGAGGGCTAGCCACAAAACTTCCCTAGGGGCACTGACTGTTCCAGTTCAGGACAGAGACAGCAGGAGTTTCTTGTTGGCCACGGAGCCTGGGAACCACTGTGACAACAGGCACTGTGGCCAAAAGGCAAAGTCAAATGCTAAGCTTTCACCTCTACGTGCAATCATGCCCCAGTGTACGTGATAATGAGCTCAGGTTCAGAACTGAAACCTTGTGAACTATGTGCTCATCTGTGTCTCACCTCCAGAGCAGTGGTTAGACTGTCTAACCTCTTCACTGAAGACAGGAAAGACAACACACACCTCATAGGTGACCTGTGAGCTAAAGGAAAGAAATACATGCAAAAAGCACTTAGTTCAATATCTGGAAAACACTGAGAATTCAGGGCTTTTTACTTATACATGCATGTATTTATTTGTTCTTAGTTTTCTTTTGCACAGTGAAATGGTTTGGGGTTTTTCCTATCTTTGGGCATAAGTTAGAACTATACTTCAACTGATGAAAACTGCCTGGGGATGAAATATGATTATTGGCTCCCTCTGGGATAAGGATTTCCACACCTAGTGTGGTGGTGGTGGTGGTGGTGGTGGTGGTGATAGATAGAATCCTCCAAGTGGCGGGTCCTGACATGAAGGCTCTGAAATGTATTAGTACATAGGAGCAGAACCTAGGTGATTGCTCCTAGATGGTGATGAATGTGTTGAAATTACACCAAATGAATTAGCATTTAGGTTTGTTGAAACACATCAATGGTAGTGATCCCTAGTCACTTCCATCTTTTTCCTGTGTACTCAGCCAAGTAGGAAGAGAAAAGGAAGAGACCATTATATAAAAGCTAGCTTGATAGACTTAAGAATCTGCTCAATGTTTGACTTTCTTTTTAGGAATAGAAATTTAAATCTTGACTAAGCACAGGGTTGGGGGTGGAGGGCTGTGAGAAACACTTTTAGCTTGGTGAACTTGAACCCTCACCTGGCCTTGTGAGCATGGACTTCTTCCAGGCAGGAGGGGACTCTGATAGGTGATGTGGAATAATTGTTTTAATTATTCCAAAAGGCTTCGTAGAAAATAGAAGTTCATAAAAGTTCAGACAAATGTGCTAAATCATTTGGTACAGGGAAGTATCACAGATCTTGACAGTTTCCATCTTGAAGAGTGTAGGGAGGCAGATGTGCCTGTGGAAAAGACAAGTTGGAAATGGTTATGTAGGAATCAATGCCGGCTCTTTGTTCTCTGGACCCTCTGGACCCTCCTGACCTCCATGAGTTCTGAGCAGTTTTAGAGACATGCTTATGTTTGCAGGCCTGGGACAGCAGGTGATAGGCAGTCAGTCATCAGCCATAACACTAGTGCCACGAAGAAGAAGGCCACAAGGAAAGAGAAGGCCACAAGCCCTGACTACAGCATCAAGCTTAGAGCTACAAGGTGGTTTCTAGGGTCAGTGTTGGAATAAGTAAATGGGCCATCTCTTTGTGTGGCACAGTGGAAGAGTGCCCTGCCCTGGTTGGTGACCATCAAGGATACCTTGGGTCCTGTCTGACTCTGCCATCCTGGCACCCATTCAGATGTTGGTTCGCCATCTCTGACCCTTTGGCCAACCTGACTTTCTTTCTCTCTGCTTCTTTTCACAGTGCTCATGTATCCCAAGTCAGCAATGTTTCAACAACTGGAGAGTAAGTTATTTGTTTTGGGGCGGGGGGGGGGGGGGGAGAATGCAACTCTAATGTTGTACAGAATTGCAAGATTGTAGTAAGTCTTTATCTGTCCTGCCAGCTAACTCCCAAATCACTACACGGAGATCACATAATTATGAAAACTTGGCTAATAGCTTAGGCTTGTTTGCAACTTGCTCTTATAACTTAAATTTACCCATATCTTTTAATCTACCTTCTTTTATGTTGCTTGGTTACCTTTACTCTGTACTGCCTATGCTGCTTCCTCTGCATCTCCTTATGTCTCCTCCTTCTCCCCAGCATCCTCTCTGCCTAAAAATACTGCATAGCTATTGGAAGTTCAGCTTTTTATTAAACCACATCTGGGAAGAGTGACACATCTTCCCAGTGCACAGAAAGATTATTCCACAACAAAAGATTAAGATAGGAAGCAAGCAGTGATTTTTTTAAGCTGTTCATGTCTAGAAAGTTGCTACATATGTGATTATACACAGTCACCCTCCCCCATTTGAAACTACCAACTAGGTTCTTTGCTATTTTCACTGTGCATACAAGGTGAGCCTTAAGTTTAATATGTAGCCCAGGCTGGCCTTTAACTTACAATCCTGCCTGTGCCCCAGTGCTAGTATCATAGATGTGTGTGCCGCTATGCCTGGCACTATTAGCTTTTGGTTTATTTCAATAGAAACAATGTCAGTAGAGGGATATTCTCTCAGCCTAGACACTCGGGGGGGGGGGGGGGGGGGGGTCCCTGCTCCAAATGATATGACAGACTTTAAAGATTCCCCCATGTAAGGCCTCACCCTCCCTAGGGAGCAGAAAGGGGATGGGGTGAGGGTTGGTGGGGGACAGGGGAGTAGGGGAGGGTGAGGGAACTGGGATTGACATGTAAATGAAGCTTGTTTCTAATTTAAATTAAAAAAAGGGGGGGAGAGAAAAAAAAAGAAACAATGTCAGGTTCAGTTAATGTTTACAAAGCCATCTCTGTTCCCTGAAGGCATCTATCATGGAGAATATAAGTGAAACTAAAGCATTAGCCATGGTTTTTCTTCCCACTATATTCATTTTACTGAGATTACAGTTATTGAGTACCTGTAACGTGCCATCCACAGTGTTAAATGTGTAATAGGGAATGAACCTTGGCCCTGCCTTTGAGGATTTTTGCAGTCCTTTTATTTTTGTGTTACAGGGATGTAGAAAAGAAAGCAAAGTTGTGGTGACACCAACTCCTTTCTCTGCACAGCAGTGGCAGTCCTGGGGTATTATGTCTGGTACATTCACCTTGACTGTGCCCTGCCCAGCCAGCTTTCATGTTTTGATTCATCCCAGCCAGGAGTCTCTTCCTAATCCACTATCAGACAGCACACTGCTGCTTTGTTCCCTCTGCCCTGCCATGTAGAAATGCAAGCTGTGTTACCATAGGATCTTTTCTGTTAAGTTCATAATTATCTCCCCAGTGCAGGAAACATGTTAGGAATATTAGCAGTCTTCACTTCACTAGTCCAAAGGCCTTTCGGTCACCCCTACCTGTTTTCTCTCTCTCTTTTTTCTGGGACAATGATATATGTTGAAGGTGGGGAAGGTGTGGGATGGAGGAAAGAAAGAGAAAGGAAGAAGTACTAACTGGGCAGAATTGGAACCTCAAAAGATGCACTTGGATTTTTCCCATTGTTTGAGGAAGCACACAGGGGCAGAACTAACTTTCTTTGACTCTGTCAACTTTAAAGATACCAGAACTGAACCAAGGTGGACTTATTCTTGCCCTTGTTGTACCTAATAATTTCTCCCTGTGCAGTTGGTAACACTGTAAATTGCTCTGTATATAATACTAATTTATTTATACTCTCTGCACCAGTGAGTCACTCGAAACACAAAATATGAACGTTGGAGTGACCCCCCCCAAGTAGGCTATGCATATCCCTTGTCTTAAAGTAATTTTAATAAAGTATTTTAATAAAGTTGAAGTTCTTAAAGACTATTTGATGAAACTAGGGTTAGTGGTTTCAAAAACTGCAAGTTTGAGACTTGCCTGGGCTGCATAGTAAGACCCTGTCTCAAAACAAAACAAGCAAAAACCATTTTATTTACAGAGAGGTACTTTTCAGTCTAGATATTAAAAAAAAAAAAAACCTGAATCTTTTAAGTGGAAAAACATAAACAAGCTTTGAGAGGTGTAAGTTAAGAATTTCCCATACCAGCTTACTCAGAGTTTAAACTAAATGGCAGTTGATTACTTAGCTCACTGGAAGATTCTGCCACTGTAAAGCCGATAGTTTTTGTGAGAATGGGACACGGCAGTGTCAATGGGCAAAACAATGGTGTTTGTATCTCACAGTGCACTCACTGTTTGGGCCTTTTGTTCTTAACTTTTTCCCCTCGGGTTTAATAAAGTAAATCTATCATTCCAATTTGAATAGTATATTTTGGGATGTGTTTGTGTGAACCCAGTTTTAACTTTATAAATCACCGTTTGATCAGAAATGTGGAAGTTTTGTGCTAGGCTTTTGAGTTGTAATTATTTGGTGAGCTGGGTTTCCCCACCCCCAAACAGTACTAATCCCTGTATAACTTTATCTTAATGAGATTCTAGATATATAGTAGATATCCTAAAATTACTTGTGCCTGTTTACTTTGTAAATCAGACTGTCACCTTCTGCAGAACTGGTATGAAGTCTGGAGGAATCATGCTTTGTAAAGATACTCAATTGTTACTCTATAGTGACAACTTTTCTAATTCTACCTAACCTTAAGTGACCCTTATTTCCGAACTGCCTCACAATTTTTACTAGATATGCTTTGAACATTTCAGTCATTACAGACTCACAAAATGAGACAAACCAAATGGTGTGATTTAACTCAATTTTTAAATGTAATATATGAGCTATTTTAGATGAATGTACTATTCTGTCTTTGTTCTTGAAGGCCTGCAGTGAGAAATAGAGATACTTCTGAAAATGGGAAAATTCTAAAGGAAATCACTGGTAACTTTGATGGCTTCATTAACTTGGTGGTCTGTTTTTAACTAGACTCTTAGAAAGAACCATCAGGTCAGCAGTAGAAGAACATCTTTTCGATGCCAACAGCTCTGGAGATCAAAGTTCAGAAGATTCAGAAACTGGACCATCATCAGCATCTTCCACACCCACCAGGCATCGGGGCCATCAATTTAAGAAGCAGGAGGATGTTTGGCATGGTCGAGACAAGTAAGCTGGCATCGGCTCTTACTGCTTGAGTCTTCTCTTTCCATTTTTAAGTCAGTCACTATGTTACAGACACACCTGCTCCTCTCATTTCAGCATCTCGATTAAAACTTTACAAGTTTTCATTAAGGTCATTCTAAATTTAGCCAGCATTCCTATGTGACTTAGCATCTCTGTTTCATCTAGACGTATGGTATTTTGTGGGAAGCCATGTCTTGATTTATGTATTTCATAACTTCCTAATGAATAACTTGTTTAGAGAAATCCTGGCCAGAAGCTTTTTCTTCCATACAAGTTAACATGAAGTTGATTTACTAAATCAACATGAAGTTAGCTTCTTAGTCAACAGAGTTTCCTTTATTAAATACTAGAGCATCCCTGTAATAACTTTTTTTGTAATAACTCTTAACACTTGTTTATGTTATGGTATTGTTTTAAAAAGTTGAACTTTTAAATCAAAAGAAGAAAACACTTAAGTTCTATGATATAATATTACTTAACTTTAAATTTTACAGCATAAATTTTAAGAATGGTATTACAAAGAGCTTTTTCTCCATTAGTGGCTTTAATAAAGTGAGAGTGCAAATCGCCATTCATATTAATAATCATGAGGCAGCTTTCCAAGGAAAATTATTAGTTATTGTTAACTGATTATATTCACATTTCCCTGGACGTTCCAAGTTTGTTTCCATTTACTATGTGGTTAATATTTTGACCTCATTATTAAATGTTGAAGAATAAATTTGACCCTAGTTCCACACACACCCCTGGACTCATAATCTACAGCAAAATCTTTATGAAGAAACTCGAGTTTTGCTGAAAGAAAATCACAGAAGATAAGTTGTATAAGTAAATCCCTTGCTATAGACCATGGAAGTGTTCTAGAGCTATGCAAACAGGTGAATTCACACAAACCGCAGCATCAATGATCTAAGCAACTGACTTTACAAGGAAGGGGTTCATTAGTTTAAGAATTGTGTTAGAATTTCAACCCAAACTGGATTTGTAACTGTGAGATCTCAGATCTAAAACTCCTTATCCAACAACTCAAAATATCATTTGGAGCAATGTTACATCTAGATTTAATCAGTACCACACTCTAATTTTGTATAAAAGCTGTGTATCCATAGCAAATTTAATATTCAAAACAGACTTTATTTTACAACATAGTTTTAATTGGGAAATGGTGGTGCACACCTCTAACCCCAGCACTTGGGAGGTAGATGCTAGAGGATCAGGAGTTTTCAAAGCCAATCTTGGCTACACAGAGATTTTTAAGGCTAATCTGAACTATATGAAACCCTGTCCCAAAAATAAATAAATAATAACATAGAGGGTTTTTCTTTTTAAGACTTTGTTAGAACTTGTAGACAGAAATTTCTGTCCCCCCAGATTCTGCAGTCCTTTAGTCCCAAATAACACACAGAGGCTTATATTAGTTATGAACAGTTTGGCCGATGGTTCAGGCTTTTTATTGTCTAGCTCTCTCTTAATTATTAACCCATTTCTGTTGATTTATGTATCTCCACGTGGTCTTTGCTTACCAGAAAATGTACTGGCATCCTATCTCCCCAGTGGCATCCCGCTGGCAACTCACTTTCTCCAGTCCTCTTCTCAGACTTATCCTAGTCAGGTAGCCCTGCCTGTACTTCTGCCTGTCCATTAGCTGAAACAGCTTTATTCGTCAGCTAATAAGAAAAACATATGTTCACAGAATACAAAAGGACACCCCCCATCAGAACTAGTAGAAAATAGTAGTTGTAATATTTCCTTAGAAAATAAGAAAACTGCAGTACCAGGAATATTCACATTTGAAATCAGCCACCGACGGGTTTATATAAAACATTTAGCAGCATAATTCATTTGTGCTCTGTCTGTTAACATAATTAATAACCTCGGCTATGGCATATTTAAAAATATCTTTAAAGTTTCATGACAGCCTGCTTTTGCCCTCTCTCTTTGGACAATGGATGAATTTGTGGGGTGGGAAGTGGTGGCATAGCAAGAAGGTATAAGCAATGATGGTGGCAGGTAGCAGGTCCGGGTAAGGTCAACAATGAGTAGAGGCCAGATGGGGCCGAGAAATGTGAACCACAAGCTAACTTCTCCCTCTGAGAGAGCTTGGTGACGTTGGTTTCCCAAGTCTGTAGATATTTCTTGCATGTTGTTATCTTGACTCTTTTCAGTGAGCAACATCAGGAGAACCAGAAGAAACAGGGAATGATGGAGCGTGGTCAGTTGTAGACTACCCATGGGACTCTAACCTTAATTTTTCACCTCTGTCATCACCATCACTGTGCATTCGAGTCCCTATCTTGATCTGGCCACAGCTGGGTAAAAGAGTCTTGGGACACAATTATTTATGTTCTCCTGGGGTACCATGTATGGCTACCATACAGAAGTTACCACAACACTCTTTCTTTGGGCACCTGGTCCCTTCCTTTTGCTCCTTGCTTGCATTATCCATCTAATTGAGAGACATCTGCCTACCTCACCTGACTTGCTGGGCCACAGTCCTGCTGGACAGGAGTTCTACAACTTCCAGCACACACCAAGGAGCAAGGTCATTATCTATCATGGTCCCAGGGCTATGATTTTTTACCTGGCTCATCTTTTACCTAATTCTGTAGTCTGATGGCCACATTAGTCCCTGATGGACTCTCCTGACCCTTTTAGTCACACCCCCCGTGCTGTTCCTTCCAGCTATGTCTTTTCCCAGTCCTTACCTTTTTGCTTTGCATACTTTCCAGACGCGCCTCTACTCCAATCTCAGAACTTTCTTTTTTTCTTCTTCCTTCTTGTAATAACTTCAGAATGCTTGGTCCCCTCAAAACACCCCAGTAGAGCCATTAATGTTTAATTAATTTTGAGGACATGGAGGGTAGTCATTATAGCATGCAGGGACTGTGTTAGTCCTGTGGTTTAATTATAACTGATTAAATCAATTTACCTAAGATTTTCATCAGGTTTTACTTTTCTAAAAAGCATAATTAATCTAGACCTTGTAATATTTTACTCAGAACTGTGAACCCCATGGAATAGTTGCAAAGCATTTTAAGGAAATCCATTCATTTTATTATGTTACTTTGTATCTTATTAATTACAACTGTGACAGTTAAACATTGTCCCCAACCAGTGATGGTCTGCTTGTAAGTGGAGTCTTAGTGAGGCCATTGTAACTTTTTACATAAGTATCACTGAAGGGAGAGAAAGACTATGAATCACTCACTTTGGTGCAAATGATTTGTTGTCAAATTTACAAGGAAATAAAACAAACTCAAGCGATTGTTTGCTATAATAAAGCATAAATGTTTAAGGAATATATTTTGTATATAAAAAGTTTCAATCTAATTTGTTTGCTTAAAGAATCTGCTGGCTGCCAGGTAAATAGACTATACATGTTCACCTCTATTTTATTATTGTTTAAAAGCAAGACATCATTTTTAAATGAAAATAGTTTAAATCTTCCAAAGTACAAAGACCTGAAACTTTAATCCCAGTATTTGTTATATAATTATTATATTAAAATCCTGCTGTAAGGCAAAAAGGAAGGCATGTTCAATTGCAGGAATAATAAACATCAGGATTATTAAAATATTACACATACATGAAGGAGGAAGAAAGAAATCCAGGAGAAAAGGAATCTTGGGAGAAGATCCCAACAACTCAAAGGAAAGGCTCAGAGTTCTAAGTCCAGGTGAAATTTAAGCCATATGAAATAAGACAGCAATGTGATGAGTGTTTGGGAAAGGAGTGGGTTCCTGTGCTCCAAACCCTCACAAAGGCTGAGACTGAGACAGACACACGAGTGACAATGCAGGCCAAGATCTCCCTCTGGGGAGCTGCTGCAGGTAAGCGAGCTATGCTGCCACCGAGCTGCAAGTCGGTTTCAGCAGCTCATTCTGCTTATTTGTTCATTGTTCCAAAGGACTAAAATATCAGCTTTCATTTTGATTTTTAAACTGTTTTTCAGTTTCTGTACTAGTATGCTTGGCTCCTACAACCAAATACACAGACTGATTGTCCTAAACAACAGTGTTTATTTATTCACAGATCTAGGGGCTGTCAGGTCCAGGTATAGGCAGGGCTGGTTTTAGGCAAGATCACTGTCCTGGGCCTGACAGGACTATCTCTGCACTGTCCTCATGTGACCATCCTTCTTTGCATGCTCTCCTAATGTCTCTTATACGGACCCCACTCACATTGGATGTCCTGCGGTAATGACCTCCGGGAGACTGAAATATTTCTGAGGGGCCTTTCCTTCACAATGAAGGTTTATTAGGCACCAGAACATTGACACAGGGATTGTGAAGGGACACAGATGTGTCTATATCAAGCACAATAGGACCTCCACTAAACATTATAATTGAAACATAGTAGTTTTCAGAAATATGCTGAGTAATAAGAAGACAAACTTTGAGGGATGAAACATAATTTGGATTTGCAACCAAACTCCTGCAGCCATCTGCAGAAGACACTGTGCAAGAGCATAATTCCTGCATGCTAGACACTGTCAGCTTTACATTCTCTCTTCATTTCGTCTGTCTGTAGATGAACTTGCTCATCAGAACCACCAGCTCACAAATAATGACATAGAGATTATTAATTATGAAAGCTTAACCTATAGCTTAGACTTGTCCCACTAGCTCTTATAACTTAAATTACCCTATTTCTTTTAGTCTAAGTTATTTTACGTAGCTCAGTTACCTTTACTCTGTACTATCATCTTGCTTCTTCTCCATCAGACTGTGACCTGCCTTTCTTCTTTCCAAAGCTTTCTCTGTCCAGAAGTCCTGTCTATACTTCCTACCTAGCTATTGGCCATTTAGCTTTTTATTTAAACCAATCACAATCATACATCTTCACACAGTGTAAAGGAATATTCCACAACAGTTTGTCCTTAAGGTGTTTCTAATAAATGTACATAAATCTTCATACAATTTCAACACATATGTGTATTCTACATTCTAAAGTAACCAAATTATACAGCACTAAAAGTGTTGACAATAATAAACTTCAAAAATATGATAGTTTTTAATTCATAATTTTTGTTCTATTTTAATCTAAGGCTATAAATTTATTGCAGAATAAGTATTTAACGCTATCTTTCACTGGGGGATGTGGTGAGCTGACAGTGAAATATGATATCTATTCTTGGTTGTCAAATTAATTTATTTCCCGATGCAGGTTTAGAGTGAAGGTATTACACTAACTCAGCCAAGCTATGAGAGTCTCAGTCATTTTCGCCTCACCAAGCCATAGTGCTCTGTTGGTAGTAGAATTTGATCTATGATGTAGATTAAAATAAAACTTTGCTAAGTCATTAATTTTATGAAAACTTCTTACAGAAATGTCTAAAATACTAATGTTTTGAAGGTACAAATGAATCAAAGCCCATGATTATGGTATTCCTGTGTGACATGATATAGTGACCATATTATAAAGTTTCCCCTTCACATTTTAAAATAATATTAAGTGTTTTTTTCATTTAGGGAACTTATCAATAAGGAGAATATTCCCTATGGCTTCAGCAACAGTGATGAATGTGTTTTGAACAGCCAGGAAGCAGAAAGATTCCCGGATGATACTTGTGATTATGTCGGGGAAAGAAGTAAACCCAAGCGTCAAAAACCCAGTTCCAGGCTTACAGAGCTCAGTGAAAATCACGATGGGCTCCTGGTAAGTGGGGATGTTAGTAACTTCTTTACTTTAGCCTGTTAAAAAAACAAAACAAAACAAAACAAAAAAACCTCTCTTCCTTAATTAAAAAAAGGAGTTTCACAAGATTATAGGAGTTCTTAGAAAGACCACTAACCCAGAAAGTACGTGCATTTGTGTTTCTCTTTTGTAAATGTAGTGATTAATGCAGAGAAATGCAGCTCTCTGCCCAAAGAGCAAGAGACAATGCTTTGGTGTTGTTTAAACTGGCTTTTAATCTAATATTTAAGCATTTTTACATTTTTGTAAATAAAAATTTTCATAAACCATATTCCCTTATCTTCCTCCATCTTATTTAATCCTGTCCATATGAACACTTGAAATGGATGAACACAAAGCAAGTTTGGAGAGGCAGCCATGCTTTCCTCAAAACATTTTCCTACTTGGTAGCAAACCTAAACCCTTATAGTACTTTACTCCTGGTTAATCAAGAGAAAAAAGGAATTAATGGTCAACACCTTTCCCTCATACCAGAACTTTGAGGCATTACGTTTTTATAGTTCTTTGAGTCAGTATGACTATTTACATCAGTATAACTATTTAATATTCACCTTCCTTTTTATGTATGCTGCAGCTTCTCTGAAAAATGAAATCCCAAATCTGCCCTATGATTTCTTTTTGCTATATTTTTTCTTTTAGTAAAGCAAAATTAACAATAACAACCCTTTGTGTGAATGGATAACAGACCTGGAGTCCCCACTAAAGATGGAAATAGAATGTCTGTCTGTTGTAGATTCACTAGTCAGACTCCTTTATTGCTCAGCTCTTTTAGTGCTTCATGCTAGGGTTTCTATACATTTATTAAAATTATAGATTGGCTATTTCCACATTGTTAATTTCTATATGTGCTTAGAAAAAAAATTCTACATTTTCCCCTAAGTAAAACATGTTGTAATACAAAGTAGAAACTTATGTCTAATAACGTTCTCAAAACAAAGAATCACTGCACTTTAACTATGTATTAAGGTCAGTGAGCAGTAAGTTTTCTTAAAATGCGCGCACACGTGTGTGTATGTGTGTGTATGTGTGTGTGTGTGTGAGAGAGACAGAGAGACAGAGAGACAGAGAGACAGAGAGACAAAGAGAGAGACAGAGAGACAGAGAGAGAGAAAGACAGACAGACAGACAGACAGACAGACAGACAGGGACAAACAGAGATGACATACAGACAAGGAATTTAACCCAGTCCTCACATGTGTTAAACACATCTATCACCACTGAACTACCCCTCTAGTCCCTGAAGAGCAAATGATTAAATGAAGTAACCTCATTAACTCTTTATTTAACCCATGATTGGCTTATCTGACAAAGAGATTTACGGTGATTAAAATGGTGGAAAGAATATACTTCTCAGTTTGAGTGTTTTTTTGTTTTTGTTTTTGTTTTTGTTTTGTTTTTTGGTTTTTTTGTTTGTTTTGTTTGTTTGTTTGTTTGTTTGTTTCGAGACAGGGTTTCTCTGTGGCTTTGGAGGCTGTCCTGGAACTTGCTCTTGTAGACCAGGCTGGTCTCAAACTCACAGAGATCCGCCTGCCTCTGCCTCTGCCTCCGCCTCCCAAGTACTGGGATTAAAGGCATACACCACCACTGCCCGGCAGTTTGAGTCATTTTTTTAAAACATAGATTTAACCAGTCAACTTTCCCCCAGGGAACAGTATTGTAAATTTGCTAGATGGTAGCTATGAAGTGAAGGGGAAAGAAACATTCATTACTTTTTTTCTTTCTTTCTTGTGTGTGTGAGTGAGAGAGAGTGATGATATAAGGTCTTTTTCAGTTATTTTTAATTTTTATTATTAATCTCTCGTATATTACATCCCAACTGCAGTTTCCACTCTCCTCCCCCACTCCTCTTCTCTTCCTCAGAACCAGCCCCTTCCACCTCCCCCTGAGAAAAGAGCAGTCCTACCATAGACATAGACCAAACACAACATAACAAGCTACAAGAAGACTAGGCACATACCATCACATCAAAGCTGGACAGGGCAGCCCAGTAGGAGGAAAAGGCTTCCACAAGCAGGCAAAGAACTCAGGGACCGTCCCCACTCCCACTGTTAGGAATCCCACAAGAACACCAAGCTACTATGCCTTAACATATTTGTAGAGGAACTAAGTCAGATCCCTACAGGCTCTCTGATCTCTGTTAACCCCCTGGTCAGTTGGTTGTGTGGGTCATGTTCTTGTGTTCCTGACCCCTCTGTGGAGCCTTCTTCCTGCTCCCTCCACAGGACTCCTAAGGTCTTCCCAGTGTTTGGCTATGGGACTCTAAGGAACATTCATTTCCTAAGGTACCTGTCTGGACGTTGAAAACATTTCCATGGGAGATTCCTTGTTGCAATTGGTTTTTGGTGTGTAAAAAAATTTGCTCCTCCCCAGTCACCAGCTTCTACATTCAAGGACTGTGCATATCACATTTACACAAATGAGCTCAGTGGACTTCACTGCAATTAATAATTTAAATCCTGCCAGCAAAGTTGGCAGGTAAACTTACTTCTCTACAAAGTCATGCTATTCTCAAAGACCTTGGCCTGTGTTCCTGTTCCATGAATTTTAAAGTTTTCTTTTTATTGTTTTTAACTATGTGTAGTGTGTGTTTCTGTGTGTGAGCATGTACACACGAGTGCAGGTGCCTGTGGAAGCCAGAGGCATCAGATCACCTGGAGATGGACTTTCGGACAGTTGTGAGCTGCCGGATATGGCTCTTAGGGTCTGAACCTAAATCCTCAGGAAGAACAGTAAATGCTCTTACTTAATGACTTTCTCTTCCTTCTTTTTTTTTTTTTTTTTTTTTTTTTTTTTTTTTTTTTTTTTGGATACAGTGTCTCACTATCTAGCTCTGGCTGACCTGGAGAAGGCTGGCCTGGAACTCACAGAGGTCCTCCTGCTTCTGTCTCCCAAGTGCTTCCATTAATTTACATGTCTAACATTCAAGGCAAACATGTGCAAAGAGCAGGGAGCACAGCAGTGAGTGGTGTTTCTCCTCACACCTGTGTGTGTGTTAAGTTCACACCTGTGTGTGTGTTAAGTCTCACACCTGT